TTTCTCTTTTGTTTCTGCCTTCTTTTGGATTACTGAACTGTTTCTTTTAGTTCCATTCTATCTTCATTCTTGGTGTATTTATAACTACTTTTTTAGTATTTATCATAGGATATATATATATATATAGTCTATCTGATTTCCAAAGTTAGATATGTAGTTTAAGAAAGTTCGAACAATGTACTTCAAATTGCTCCCTCCAACATTTTGTGCTATTGTTGCCATATATTTTACTATTATATATGGCATAAACATACAATGCGTTGCTACTATATTTTCTTTATATAGTCATTTATCTTTTAGAGTGATTAAAAATAAGAACATTTATAGTTACCTTCATTTATATAATTTCTGGAGTTCTTCATTTATTTGTGTAGATTTTAGTTTATGTCTGGTATCATTTTTCCCTCAGCCTGAAGAACTTTCAACATCTACACTAATAAAAGAGAAAAATGGCCAAACCGGTTTGGCTCAGTGGATAGAGCGTCTGCCTGTGGACTGAAAGGTCCCAGGTTCGATTCCGGTCAAGGGCACGTACCTCGGTTGCGGGCACATCCCCAGTAGGAGGTGTGCAGGAGGCAGCTGGCCGATGTTTCTCTCTCATCGATGTTTCTAACTCTCTATCCCTCTCCCTTCCTCTCTGTAAAAAATCAATAAAATATATTTAAAAAAAAAAAAAAAGAGAAAAATGGTAATTGGCGTACGACGCTACCCTTTTCATTGGCTAATCAGAGCTATATGCAAATTAATTGCTAACTAAGATGGCAGTTAGCTGCCAACAAAGATGGCGGTTAATTTGCATATGTAGGCACAATGCAGGGAGGCGAAAGGGAAAGCAGGAAGAAGCCCCCTGCCACTGACAGTGATCGGAAACCCAGGGGGGAGCTAAGAGCTGGGGGGGCAGGGCAAAGGAGGCCCCAGGGCCGCCTTTGCCCTGCCCCCCAGCCATGATCGGAGAATCGGGCACCTTTGCCGCCCTGGCCAGTGATAACAGGAAGTAGGGGTGTAGCCAGCGATAGGAGCTGGGCACGGTCGAAGCTGGCAGTCCTGAGAGCTAGGGGTCCCTTGCCTGGGCCTAAAGCGGAGCCCACGATCGCGGGGCTGCTGCAGCTGCGGGTCCCCGCTGCCCGGGCCGGACGCCTCGGCCAGAGGCATTAGGCCTGGGCAGGGGCAGAGCCTGCAACCGCGGGGAGCTGGGGGTCCCCTGCCCAGGCCTAATGCCTCGGCCAGAGGCGTTAGGCCTGGGCAGGGGCAGAAGCGGGAGATCGCGGGGAGCTGGGAGTCCCCTGCCCAGGCCTAATGCCTTGGCCAGAGGCGTTAGGCCTGGGCAGGGGCAGAGCCTGCAACCGCGGGGAGCTGGGGGTCCCCTGCCCAGGCCTAATGCCTCGGCCAGAGGTGTTAGGCCTGGGCAGGGGCAGAGCGGGAGATCGCGGGGAGCTGGGAGTCCCCTGCCCAGGCCTAATGCCTCGGCCAGAGGTGTTAGGCCGGGGCAGGGGCAGAGCGGGAGATCGCGGGGAGCTGGGGGTCCCCTGCCCAGGCCTGACACCTCTGCCGGAGGCCTCAGGCCTGGGCAAGGGGCCGATCCGATGATCGGCGTTTGGAGGGTGATGAGGGTCAACTCCTCTGGCCGAGGCATCAGGCCTGGGCGGGGGGGCGGAGCCAGCAATTGGAGGGGGCTTGGGGTCCCCTGCCCAGGCCTGATGCCTGGGCCAGAGGCATCAGGCCTGGGTGGGGGGCGGAGCCGGGGATTGGGGGGATATGATGGTCCCCTTGCCCAGGCCTAAAGCCTGGGTCAGAGGCGTCAGGCTTGGGCGGGGGGGTGGAGCAAGCGATCAGAGGGAGATGGGAGTCCCCTGCCCAGGCATGATTCCTGGGCCAGAGGCATCAGGCCTGGGCCAGGGGCAGAGCCAGCAATCGGAGGTGTCTGGGGGTCCCCTGCCCAGGCCTGGGGGCAGAACCAGTGATGGGGGGAAATGAGGGTCCCCTGGCAGAGGCGTCAGGCCTGGGCAAGGGGCCGATCCTGCGATTGGAGGGTGATGGGGGTCAACGCCTGAGGGCTCCCAGTATGTGAGAGGGGGCAGGCTGGGCTGAGGGACACTCCCGCCCCCCCGCCCCCCCCCCCCAGTGCACAAATTTCGTGCACCGGGCCCCTAGTTTCTTATAATAGTGACTGTTAATAATGGAGTCTCTCAATTTTTGTTTTTCTCTAAATACTTATATTGTAGCTTTAAGTTTTAAAAAATATTTTCATGGGGTCTAAACTTTTATGTTGGCAGATTTTTTTTCCAATAATTTAAAGATATCATTCCCTTGACTTATAGTTCGCATAGTTTCTTATAAGTAGTCCACTATAATTTTTTATCTTAGTTCCTATGTATAGGATTTGTATTTTAAAATATGAAAATCCATTTAAAAATATTCTGCTTGGTGCTTCTTGGGCCTGTAGCTAGATATATTTCATTATTGTTAAAAATTCTTGGGTATTATTTCTTCAGATATTTCTCCTGCCCCATTCTCTGTCATCCCCTTCTGGAATTTCAGTTATACATTTGTTAGAACATTTGATATCATTCAGAGCTCTTAGGTGCTGCGTTCTTTTTTCTTTTTGCTTTCCCCTTTTGTCTTTTTGTTCAGCTATTTCTATTGATCTGGAGTTCACTAATTACTCATCTGTGTCAAGTTTACTGGTGAGTATATTGAAGAGATTAATCTCTGTTACTGTTTTTTTTTTCTTTCAATTTTAGCATTTCCTTTAGACTCAGTGCTGTAGTTTCCGTATTTCTACGGAAATTCCTCACTGGTTCATACATTTTGTCCTTTTTTATTATAGGCTTTAACATATTAATTTTAGTTTAAGTTCATTGTCTAATAATTCCAATATCTGTTCATTTCGAATCTAGTTCTGTTTATATTTTTCTCACCTAGAGAGTAGGTTTTTCTTCCCTTGAAGTTCTTATATGTTCCACAATCTTTTATTGAATACTGTATAACTAGTGTAGAACAGTAGAGAATGATAGAAATTCTGTTTGTCACTGGAAATGGATACACTTCTTTTTCTAGGTCATTTGTATGAAGGATTATGTTCACTTATTCAGGAGTTAAGCTGGGCTGAGTCTCATTGTTGCTATGGTTACCTTCAGTTTGTCCTGGGCTTCAAATTCTCTAGTGTTACTTTATTTGTGAGGGAGAGGGCTAGGGTGATTGAGGGTATTTTCATCAATGTTATGCTCTACCCTGAACTTTTGTCTTTCCCTGGGTACTGCTACCAGAGTGGCTTCTCTCAATGCTTTTGTTCCTACTCTAGAAGTGATTGCTGTTGTTTGTAATCCAGTGCTTGGTATCTTGGTGTTGAGGGAGCAAGAATATTTTTATTGTCTTGGTCTAATCTCACTCTTAGGCAGACCCTGTATGTTCTGGTTTTGGAGTAGAGTTTTAAAAAATGATGCCATCTTTCTTTACTCTTTCATCTCTACTTTTAATTTTTTTTTATTTGAGAGAGAGAGAGAGAGAGAGAGAGAGAGAGAGAGAGAGAGAGAGAGAGAGAGATGAGAAGGAGAAACACTGATTGGTTGCCTCCCATATGTACCCCGACCTGGGGGGATCTAACCCACAACCTAGGTATGTGCCTTGACACTCCAACTAACTTAGCCACTCAGCCAGGGCTTGACTCTGTCTTGAATCATTGATATGTCTTGTATGAGACAGTTTCCTACCACTTTTGCAGGGATAGGAGCCCTCTAATACTCAGTCTTGGGCCATGACTGTTTTCTGCCCCTCACTCAGGTATAAAGGATTTTTTTTCCTGTTCCTCCTCCTGCAATGGTCTCACTGGGTTCCAATTTTTGTTATTCCTCACCCAATGGCTTAAGACCTTTATTTCTGTGGGGAAACAGTTATTGGTGGAGCTTCATATATTTTCTATGACAGAAGCTACTCTCCTTCTCCAGGTTTGCATCACAAAGAAAGGTATTTTCTAGTCTTCTGCTGTGCCGCTAATTTGGGAAAAAACAATAATCTTTCTCCAAAACACCGGACGGAGGCCTGTACAGGAGTCTGCCAGTGGGTGTGAATTCCCTTTTGTGTCTGTGACTCTCAGAGGTTCTACATGCTCATAGTTCCTCTACACTGGATCTTTAATCGTTTTTTAAAAAAATTTGTCTTAATTATTTTTAATCACTTGTGTGACACCCAGCATTTCTTCTTTTGGTGCCCTGTCATAGAGGAGTCGGAGCTTCTTTCCTTTCTTCTTTTGATGGGGCCCAACTTTCCTTGGATGTCCGATTATTGGTTGCCCTACAGTCTCAGTTTTCTGATAGATTTTGTTCTTTATTTGGATATTTCTTGTTAAGGTAGAAGCAAAGATCTTTCCAGCTTCCTGTATATTATGTGGAAATGAAACTTACACACCTTTTAAAAGTTAAAGTTCCTGGTAGGAAATATAACTTCTGTGCTAATTTAGTGGTTCTCAAGTTATTTCTAGTGGTGAAACATTAGTTATAATGATAGTTACAGAACTATTATTTTTCCCCAAATTAAAGTAATTAACTATATATTTGTGACAAGTTATATATATTATTATTATTAAATAATGTAATTTAATGAACTTTTTTGGATTTCGGTAGTTATACTAGATATTTTTCATATAATTCTCAGTAAAATGTTGGAACATAGTTTCCTCTTCCTTTTTTTTTTTTATGGACGAGAGAAACTGAGGCTAAAGGGATTAAATTGATTGCTTTGCATCACAGAGAATTAGTATGTAGTACAGATGAGATTTGAGCCCGTATCTAGTTTCAAAATGCATTCTCTTTGTACTCTACTGCAATATGTAGTTAATTTCTTGTTTCTGGTATTAACACAAAAGGACAGGGGAGGGGGCAAATTACTGATAACACAAAAGGACAGGGGAGGGGGCAAATTAATGATAAAAATCTAATTAGACTTCTATTACTAAATACATTTTTATTTCTGTTTAACATGGGCCAATTTTTTTAAAAAAATAGGCAATGATTTGGGAAAGGACGATGCCATCGGAGGGAATGTGAACAAATATATGGTGCTTCCAACTGGATACTGTGGACAGCCCAAGAAAGGACATCTTGTCTTTGATGCTTGCTTTGAGAGTGGTGAGTGTATTAAAGGCCTTTGCTTTTGATCTTGTCTGGTGAGGGTTTTTTAGAATCTATTCCCACCTAAATGTGATTCAGTCCATTTAATATTTCACCAGAATGAAACAAGCTGTCAAAAGAAAATCAATTTTGATGGGATTAACTTAGAAATACTTAAAATGAGATGCAATGTTTTTGTTGCTATAAATTATTAGAAATATACAGGTAATAATGGTGAACATTTGTATAGTATCTTATATTTTATAAAGTACTTACCTAGATCTTATTTGTCTGGGATAGAACTAATATAATTTGACTGACTATATGGTAAATCAATTATTGAATATTTATTATATCTGGTTTTGTATGACATTCTCACAGAACTTAATCATTGTGAGACAAGAGGCTTTTCTGTAAAGAAGTGATGAGAGAACAGATTCTATTGAACACAAACAAAACAGCAAAAGTAATAATGCATCATAATCAACAAATGCTTGTGGGTATCCTAAATGGGGAGATCAGGACTTGATTGTGAATTACCATCCAGTAGGTATTTGATCTTTTTAAAATTTTTATGCCTAGAACCTCAGATTCTACTATGAATAGCAAACAGTATGTATTCAGAATATGTTGAAAATATTAGTGAGAAAAGTAACATAATTTCATTTTTAAAATAATTAATTTTATTGATTTCAGAGAGGAATGGAGAGGGAGAGGGAGAAAGAGATAGAAATATCAATGATGTGAGAGAATCATTGATTGACTGCCTCCTGCATGCCCCACACTGGGAAACGAGTCTGCAGTCCAGGTATGTGCCCCGGCCAGGAATCCAACCGTGACCTCCTGGTTCTTAGGCTGACACTCAACCACTGAGCAATGCTGGCCAGGCATTTTTGTTTTTGAATAGTGTGCATGCGTGTGTGTGTGTGTGTGTGTGTGTGTGTGTGTGTGAGAGAGAGAGAGAGAGAGAGAGAGAGAGAGAGAGAGAGAGAGAGAAGGGATATGCCAGCTCTCTGAATCCTATGAACATCTGTTATTTATACCACCTATTGAAAACTTGTTTATCCAGAGTTTTGCTTAGTTTACTCCATGTTGTCTTAGTTTGCTAGGGCTACCATAACAAAGAGCAACAAACTGAGTGTCTTAAACAACAGAAATTTATTGTCTAACAGTTCTCAGATCAAGGTGTCGTCAGGCTTGGTTCATTCTAAGGGTTTTGGGGAAGAATCTGTTCTATGCCTCTTCTCTAGCTTCTGGTGGTTTGCTAGCGATTTCTGTTGTTCTTTGGTTTTTATGTCTTCATTTTCACATGCTGTTCTCTCTATGTGTATGTCTGTCTCTAAATACTCTCCCCATTTTTTTTTTTATAAGGACACCAGTCATATTGGATTAGGGCTCACACTAATGACCCCATTTTAATTTGATTACTTCTGTAGAGACCTTTTCTCATAGTAAGGTCTCATTATGAGGTTCTGGGGAGTTAGGATTGAAACATATGAAGTTTTCTGTGGACACAATTCAACTCATAACACAGAATTGTAGTATTGTCCTTCCAGTCAAATATGAGCACTGTCTACACTGTTAGGAACAATGTTTCCTACTTTTTTTGAACCTAGTATTATTATCTTGTCCAGGAATTCACTTGGTGCCTAGAAAATAGTTTTTGAATTCTTTTTACTTTAGGTTAAGGCAGTGGTTCTCAACCTTCTGGCCCTTTAAATATAGTTTCTCATGTTGTGACCCAACCATAAAATTATTTTCGTTGCTACTTTATAATTGTAATGTTGCTACTGTTATGAATCGTAATGTACATATCTGATATGCAGGATGGTCTTAGGCGACCCCTGTGAAAGGGTCTTTCGACCGTCAAAGGGGTTGCGACCCACAGGTTGAGAACTGCTGGGTTAAGGTGTAATGGGTTTTTACAATAATTCTATGAGTAGAAATTATTTTATACCTACAGTATGAAATAATCCAGATTCATTTTCTAGAACACCTTTCCCTTCACTATACTTATCTTTTTCCATCCCTTACCGAAAAGCTCAGTACAAGAAACTGCCCATCTGACCACAAAGTAACTAAGTGAATAATGCATATTTCTCCCCAAATGTATGAACAGTTGGTTATATCAACTGTATTTGTCCTAGCAGTGCATCAGTCTTGCAGTATAGTAGAGTGGCTAAGTAACACCCTCTGGAATCAGGCTGCAGTTCAAATCTTGACTTGAATCCTGGGTCACGGTTTCCTCATTTGTAATGGTGAATGATGCCTACCTTATATCTTAATTGAAGAAAAATAAATATATATTTCATTGTTAAAAAAATTAATCCCATTTTACTAAAATATATACACAATAATAAAATATTTAAAAATAGATAAATGAGGAGATCTCATAAAGGGGAAATAGCAAAAGAAAATTCAGCTGGATGAGTACGTAAAATGTATGCTATGTGACCCATAAATTTGCTATAGAGAGGTTACAAGTTTAACTGTGACTTTTCTGGTGGCCTGTTGAGAAGATAAAAATAATCAGGTACTGAAATTTGGTAGAAACCCTTCCTAATGAGCTTCCCAAAGCATATACTGAAATATGATGAATAGCATCCTCAACAGTATCCCTGTGGTCTCTACAACAGTATGTTTCATAGAGGTGTATTTTGTAACATCCTTCAATGTAGGATGAGGGCATAATGCTAAAGGGCATTTTAGTGAAAGCAATTCAGTTACCACTTGAAACAATTTGTTTGATATATGCAGCCTTCATTTTATCTATCTGTTTATTTATTTTTCTTTTTTATTGAATTTATTGGGGTGAGACTGGTTAATTCAAGGATTAATTTGAGATTATTTAAAACAGGAAAGTCAGAGGGCTTTTATATTATGTGCTAATTCTGAGCTACTGGCTGTGGTTTCCTGGTATGCTGTGTTGAAAGGATTCTGTAAGTGTATCTGGACTTATTGGAAAGGAGTTAGGTGATTAATAGATTCAATGAATGGGAGTATTGACTCATGTAGATTAAGTATATTCCTTTCAGGTAATCTTCCATAAGTTTTTTTCTCCGTTTGGAGTTGTTGGATTTGTGAAGTGCCTAGTACATTTCCTGGCCCTGAGTTAGTGGATAATTAATGTTTTTCTTATGAGAAATGAAGTCTGCAGGTCAAATATGAACTTTTCTATGAATCCCTGATCTGTTTTTTTCCATATACACCTCCCTATAAGTATATTTCCCTTGAGAAAACAGCCATACCACTCTAATTTTATTTCCCTAGAGATATTTGAGACTTTTTATGATTTTTAAAAACTTCTTTTGTTCTCTTCTATTAGTAACCAGCTTCAGGACAGAATATGAGCCTGATTAATCCCTGTTCTTCCACAGAACCAAGCAGAGTGCTTACAGAATTAAGCACTACATTAATACTGTATTTATTTATTGAATGAAGTAATTTGAGCAACAGAAAGATGGGGAAAGATTAACTTTCCAGTAGCTTTGATGAAAAAGTTATATTTAATTGCTGCTTATTTCCTAATCCACCAACTTCTCTGAAGTTTTTATACCTTTGTAGATACTGTTTTCTTTACCTGGTAAAATGTTAATTAAGACTCAGTCCAGCATTTCTTCCTTTGAGAAAGAGTACATCTCAGGCAAGTTTGGCTATCTGTATCTCTGTATTTACAACCACCTCTTAAGCTATTTTCTGATAGCCCTTATTGCATTACAGTCATTTAATTGTGTTTCTTTTTCCTTATCACTAAAAGTGCCTTGAATTCAGAGATGGTTTCTTATTATTTTTTTCTCCCAGCACCTAGTATACTATCAGTCATTTAATAAGGAAATATATGAATATATGAATAAATATATTTATTCGATAAATATATGAATAAATGAGGGATGACAGAGAATGAACAAAATAATCTTCATAAAGTGAACTTTTAAGATTGATAAAAATATTTTTCATTTATATAAAAAATTAACAGCAAAAAGAATATTCAGGTAAAAACAATAAAAATGATCACTTATTTATTGCTTGCCAGATACTATCATAAATGACATATACATAGCTTAATCTCATTTAATACTCATAAAACCTTCTGAGGTGTTAAATCTCTCTCTATAGGTTTGGAAACTGATGCTCAGAAATGTAAATCTGCTTACCTTAAAGTGCATGACTGACAAATGGTGTAGCTGAATACGAAACTGAGAATTTTCTAGCTCCAAAGGCCATACTTTTAACCATTATCTATATATATGAAAGCCTAAGCGACCAAATGATTGAACGACTGGTCAACTGGTCGCTATGATGCACACTGACCACAAGGGGGCAGATGCTCAGTGCAGAAGCTGCCCCCTGGTGGTCAGTGTGCTCTGACAGCGGAAGCACCGCTTAGCTGACTGATGGGTGCCAGATGCCAGGCTCACGGCTGGCAAGTGCAGCTGCAGTGGCCCAAGCCTCTCCTGCCTCCACGGCAGTGCTACCACATAGCAGCAGTGGCAGGTGCAGTGGGGCCAGGATGAGGGTCAGCGGCGTGGCACCCGCCTGGACTTGGACTCTTCCCCGGCCGCCTGCCACTTCGTGCACTACTACATCCCTAATGGGATGTTGGACTGCTGGTTTTGGCCCGATCCCCGCCAGCCAGATTGGGCGGAAACCAGCAGTCCAACATGCCCCGAGGGGTCCTGGATTGCAAGAGGGGGTGGGCCAGGCTGAGTGACCCTGAGATATTTAATATGTTTTTTTAAATTACTGTTGAAAGCAGAAGGGTCAGTGAAATAAAGGTATGGGTCAGTTATTTGCATACTATTTCAAAAAAATGGAAATAAAAAATTAAAACTTTTAATTCCTCCAATGGAATTTACTATTTCACTTGTGTATTCTGTAAAAATTAACATTATGTTTCCTTTTGATAGAAATTATCTTCATTCATGGCACAGTATGAAAATGTAGCAAGACTACATTAGAAATCAGGGTTTTTAGCTTAATGTCTTACCTAAACTTTTCTTTGTTTAGATGTCTAAATG